AAAGAAAGTGGCTCACACAATAATATGTCTTTTATTTTTCCTGTTCCAGGGTGTGGTTAGGTGACTTTCCCTTGGTAAAAGGACTTTCGGGTCTGGGTATGTAAAGTTAAATGCAATTGCAAAATTGAAGGACACAGCCCGAAAGTATTTGCAATTTGAAAGGGAGAAAAAAAAATCCCTTGATGTTATAAAAACAAAACAAACACACACAAACCTGGTGAAAACATTTCTTTAGCTCATTGACTTACATTTTAAAACCTGTGATTATGTTTTGTGATATCTTATTGGGAAAGCATTTCCCAATACTTTCTTACGAACAGATACTGTACAAAACACAATTACAGTGAGAGATATTAATAATATGTTTCATTTTACTTCCTCATCTCCTTTCCAAACTAGAAGACTCCATTACCAAACAAATTCTATGAATATCGACCAATTTGTTCCATTTTCCTAAGCTTTGTGCTCCAGATAGTTCTATGCAGATAAAGGTTTTTAAACTCTGCAAAGTGGTTTTCTTTGCTACAGTTTCTCCTTCTACTTAGAACAGTGAAATACTTTCAGATTTTAATAGATTAATCTAAAAACTAAATCTGAAAATTAGCTTCAAATTTAAAACTGAACTTGAAAATTCAAAGGAAAGTATTTGTGGTTTGAAATTATCTCTAGAAGTGAAGGTAAGGCTAGAAGGAGATAGGGGCTTGGGGAAGAAGGTGAACCCACCCATCCACCCTTCTCACTAGTCTTCTCCCATTATTAAGGTCACTGACATTCCTTTTTGAAGAAAATTAATTACAGGTGATTGATTTATAGAAAATAATGACTCACAGTTCTTTCCAAATTTGGGCGGGAGTAAGAGAAAGAGGGAGGGTGGAAATTCCTCAGTTTTGTTACTACCAGCTCTCCATAGCTGCTTTATTGTTTGCTCTTGGCTTTTCTCTTTTGCAAAAAAAAAAAAATACTGAGAAAGGAACTGCTTTCAGTTTAAAAAATTATGTGAGAAATTGGAAAATAATAACCACTAATACCTTGAGTCATGTTTACTCTGCCAGACACTCTGCTAAGCACTTTATATTTATTAACCCACTTATATCTCACAATGCTATGAGGTGAGTAGATTATGAACCACACTTTACAGGTGAGGAGATGAGGCACAGAGAGATTAAGGAGGTTACCCAGGACACAGAGCTATCAAGCTTATATTTAAAGTGAGGCTGCATGGCTTCAGAATCTGTTTTAATTTGTATTGTTTTTTAACCATTAGGCAGCCTTCCCTCTTTACTCTTTAATCCCTGTCTCTCAAGAATTTACGGAGCTGCAGGGTGCCTGGTGGTCCAGTGGTTAAGAATCTGCCTTGCAATGCAAGGGATGCAGATTCAATCTCTGGTCCGGGAACCAAGATCCCATGTGCAACAGAACACAGACCCAGCAAACTAGAACGACTGAGCCCACATGCCACAACGAGAGAATCCATGCACTGCAACGAAAGATCCCGTATGACACAAGAAAGTTCCCACGTGCCGCAACCGAGACCCAGTGCAGCCAGACAGAGAAATAAATGTACGGAGCTGCTGTGCCTGGTGGGATGAAGGGGAGCACAGCAGGGATGTTCCAAGGACATTAAAATAGGACAAGGCTGAGGGAGGCGTCACCACCTGCTGAAGGGCAGAGGGGCTGCCCACAGATTGTCTGGGTTTCCCATTTGAGGAGTTCTGGAAACAAAACTGACTGTTGATATTCAGGGAACCCAGGAGGCAGAGCTTCTCAGATCACACTTTTTTGGAGCTGGAGGGCAGCGTGGCACCTCCCCAGAGGGTCTCCCTGTGGAGTCAGCTGCATGTTAGGGCGTGTTTCCAGCTCCAGGTTCCCAAACTGCCCTCCTTCAACTCCTGAGCTTCAGAGCTGTGAGGGGTGACCCGAACTTGACTATTCCCACCCTGACTTGAGCTTTGGCCGTTGGACAGTTTCTCCAAGAGCAGCGGCCACATCAAACCCACATGGGGCCCCAGTGTGTCTCTCTTCACTCCATCTTTCCTTTATTACCATCGTGGGAATACACCTTGTCTCTCTCCATCATAGAACAAGCAAACACGGACCTCAGATGGGGCTGGGTGATGGTCCAGTTGGGGGAGGGGAGCAGAGGAGATTCTGACAGTGTTCAAAAGGAGATGTGGCTTTTTGCAAAGTTTAGAATCCATCTTCTGGTTCCATGCCTTCACTGCATATCCAGGAGGCTGAAGCCAAGTAGGGTGAGATGACTTATAGGGGGATCACTGGGCTGGGGAGAGACCAAGGGAAACTAGAACCCAAAACAGGGGCCCTATGGCCTCCTGTAACAGTTCCCACCAGGTTTTGAAGGTGGCAGTTGGCTGTCACCCCGTGGACTCTTCCTCAGATCAACTCCTGAACTCTTTGAGAGACAGTCACAGCTGAGGTTTCCACAGATCCCCTGCAGCCCTCACACTCTGGGCCCAGAAACCACACTTCACCAGGTGAAAGGTCACAAGTTACTGATTTCACCCTCCCCACATGCCTGTTTCCATGCTCCTTTCTGTCCCACCTCCTCCTTTCCTCTCCATTTCTCTTCATTTTTTGCAAACAGCTCTGTGAAGTCTAGACCAGCACACCTGCTTCTTCCCATCAACTTCTCCTTGGCTCACCTCTGGGGGTTTGGTCTCATGTCTCCCTTCTCACTTGGCCATGATATAGCAGAAGGACTGAGTGTGACCCCACAATCCCTGCTGGTGGCCAGCGAAGACCACGTGGCTTGCATTCTGTACCATCCCATTTGGCCCCCAGCACCCGTGCAGAACAATGAGTGACCTCACAAACCCAGACAGATCTGCATCACAGGACCTTGGTCTCCTCCCTGCAGATATGTTTAGCCACAAAGTTGCCTTCATGGTCTCCATTCCACTCCAAACAAGATGATAGCAACTGCTCTTTATTCATCACTCTGTGGCAGGAATCTTGACAGGCCCTTTGCCTACATCACAGCAAACTTGATGAGAAACCTATGAGATGTTCGTATTCTCATCATTTTGCAGATGAGGCAGCTGAGTTGTCTTAAGCCATGAGTCCTTCTCCCTCAGAGTTATTAGATGCTGAAGTCAAGGCTGAAACCCCAGTCTGTCATAGACCCCATCCAAGCTCTTCCCACTGCAGCATCTTCACCTTTGAGTCAGTGTTATAAGTCATTTTAATTTCATGCATCTCACTGGAGAAGCTTCTAGTGAATTAACTGATCCTGGTATTTTTACACAGGGCTCGGCTCTGGTTCCTTGCCTTGCCCATGTGCCTCTCTGCCCTTCCTGCCCTGAAGGGCTCTCCTGTCCCTTGCTGTCTGGGACTCCTTGTCTCCTTGAGTCTCTCTAGAGGAAGTAATTAAAAGCAACAGAGGACAGGGACTTCCTCCTCGGCTCTTGCTCTTCCCTCTCTCGCCACTCAAGTTTTGTTTTCTCCAGGTGCCGGGTTCTCCCAGTTCTGTGTCTTACGCCCCTTCAAGTTTAAAATTCTGGCCTTTTCTCAGGTGCTTCAGGGGAAAGCCAGTTCTTGGAGGCAGCCTCTCTGGCTCTTGGTCAGCACACAGTTTGCCTTCTGCCTCCTGGTTTCCACTCTACGCTCATCAAATAATGTTTGCAGGGCAAACATACCCCCTCCCTCCCAGGCCACTGACCACTTTGCTTCCCTCTTACTGCACTGCCCTGTTGGAAGGAATACTGTAGGGTGAGCATTGTGTTTCTGCCAGGACCTGGCTGAGACTCTGTTGAAGCCACAAGGCTTTTCAGGAGCAGTGCTCAGGCCAGAATTTCAACTTGAGACAGTGGATGGTTTCTCTGGGAGTCTAACAGGTTATCCAATACATGAGAAGTCTGCAAACTTTGCTTTCAAAGTGGAGTTGAAGTGATTTCCCACTAAATTAGGATAATGGTGGTCTAAAAGTTGGGGACTGAAAAATAATAGTGGGCTCTTTATCATTTTTGTTTCTTTCATAACATCTTCTAAACTTCTAAAGATCCCTCCTAATACTCATCTGAACCAAATAATTTATTATAAAATACTATCAAAAATATATAAATATATCTAAGCATTTAATATCTCAAGCTTTTTTAAACTATTATGCAATATAATATACATATACAATAGTACTGCAATTTCTGCTAACAAAGTCACTACTATCTAAAATGGAATTTATTACATCAAAATTTAGTTTCATGATTTTCCCCTGGCAACCCCTGAACTGAATTTCCTTAAGGGAAGAATGGGAGGGTGGCTGGGTCAAGGAGTGACTGAGTTTGCTTGTTCCTCACTAGAATAATTCAAATGCAAGATTAATCTTAGGTGGTTTGGATCAGAGTACCTGCCCTGATTGCCAAGGACACTGGAGCTTCCTCTGTGTTGGCAGGGATGTTTGAAGCCAAGGATGGGAGGAAGCCTGCAGCAGGAGCCAAGGAAGGGGAGAAGAGGTCAGAGCAGGCTGCACCAAGACTCAGCTTTTCTTTCTGCCCCCAGCTTTTTTTTAACCTTTTGCTTTGTGTCTGTTTCTTCTCTTTTCTCCCACTAGGCTTCTCTAGATGACCATTATTGATACATTCAGCTCTCACTCAGAAATGCGGGGAAGAGGCAGCACATTGCAGTGATGGGAGAGAAACCGGTACCTTGGCCACTACAGTTTGGAATTACCTATTCACTTTCTTGGATGTCAACACCTTTGGAATAGACATGGGGAGAAAAACTCCAGTTGCCTGACTATCTTCGAGTACTTTGTGAGTTTGCCTCTTTGGTGAATTCCAAAGATACTCAACACATTCACAAAATAACCACCTCATCCAGCAGCGAACAGTGAAAAGGTAAAGGCCCCAGAGTGCTTCTCTTTCAGGCTTCCATGGCTAGATTCTTCCCTGTCTCACCAGAGTATTAAATTCAATAGCAAACCTACTTGATAGCAAACCGTCTCTTCCTCTGGGTGTACGAAAAACGAGAAAGGTCACCCACTGATTTCAGTAGTGAAACTTTTGCTCATGGAAGGCCAGACGTGCGATGCGGTGGGCAGCGTGCAGACAAGCAGGAAGCTGCGTGTCATAGAGTGACTTGGTGTTCATGAAGCTGGCAGTGGCAGCCACCGGCGTTGATGGGCAACACTCTCCCTCCTCGACAATACCAAGTTCCTCTTGAAATTTGGAAGCAAGGTCTGGCAAGGATGCTGCCTCTTCTTGAGGATGTAAGTGCACAGCTGAAGTCTGTTTCCAGAGTAAGAGGAGAGAAGGTTCCCAAAGCAGCCATAGGCAGACACCAGAGCAGGCCTTGATCACCCTGAAAGGTGAGCACTAAACCTGGTATGATGCTCACACTGTCTCTCCCACCCCCATCCTGATTTAATTGATCTGGGTTGGGGACCCAGAGCCTTAGGGTTTTGTAAACCAACCCAGCTGATGGGCATGGGCAGCCAGGATTGAGAACCACCTCCCTGGTCAACCGGATGACTTGCTGCAAGTCTCACTCAGGAGCTTGGCAGCCCCTTTAAGAGCAAAAAAAAACCAAAAAAGAGCCTCTTTTCACTCATTTGGTGCCAGAGACCACGTTCCCCATACCTCATTTTTTTGCACTTGCTCTCAGTACAGGAAATAGTGCATGTAACTCCTAAGGAAGATGAGGCCAGGGTTCTCAAGAAGCCTGAACTCGGCCGCTCGCTGGGCTGGTGCACAGTATGGGACACAACTGACCTTCAGCCCAGAGACTCAGAGAGAGAAAGCCCGCATCCCCAGGCAAGTTCCTTCATGCCTCTGGTCTCAGCGTCTTTTTCTGTTAAATAGAGGATTGGATTCACTAGATAATCTCTGAACTTTTTCTAGCTTTAAAAATATGTTAAGTGTCTGATGTTTTAGTCAATGCATCTGAACATATCCATCTATACTAACTGGTTCCTTCCACCTACAAGAAAAAAAAAAATCATCTCCAGGAGGTCTCAAGTATAAATTCTTAGTTTGAAAAGCCAAAGGATTTTTTAACTATTTGCAGCTAAATTTCATCTTAAATGTGTGAACTGAAGCAAGTCTGGTCAAGGCTTACACTGGCAGAAAGTAAGATGGTGCCCAATTCTGTTTTGATGCACCTCTGAAGTACATGTTCCAGGGGAAGAATAAGGGACTGGGGCACATTTCATATTTTGCACAGAGCCCTAAGTACACTATTGTAATAAAACTTCCTGAAAGAAACTGCTAAGCTTTTCCTGACACAATGCTCTTGAGAAATTGCCTAAGAATATGGATATCTGATGGCAGATTTCAAGGCCTAGGCTCCCAGGTATGCTTGATTCACATGCAAATCTGACCATGCCTTGGCATGGCTATCTGCCATGTCACCAGGCAGGAAAAGGACATGGATGAAGTGGGGCTCAGAACCCTAAGAATTCAAAATATCCAAAAGTGAAACTGGCAGTTTGCCATCCTGTCTATGCACATGGATTTCCTTTTCTGACTAATTTCTTTTGTAGAAAGAGTAATTACCTTTATTACTAACATTGCCTCTATTACTACCCCTAGGCAAATCATTAATAGTCAACTCTTTCACTCAATCATCTTTCCAGCGTTTGAACTTTTACTCCCTTAAAAAAAAACCTCACAATAGATAGAGAGGCAGGCACATATATATCTATTTATACATACAGGATTATAAGCGAATACACACCATCATCTACATTGGTATCAGCCATTCACTTTATTGAGCACCTATCGTGGTCTCTGCCCTCTAGAACCTTGTAGTTTGACTATGGGGGCAGGGGAGGGGATGAATGAGAGTACAAAATATCCATAAAACAAAATAGATATCCATGTATAGCATAAACTGTCAGTTCTTAAAGGGTGGTCCCAGGGACTTCTAGGGTTCCTAAGGCTCTCTCAGGGTGTCCACAAAGGAAAATCTATTTCTATTATAATACTAAGAGCTTATTTGTTTTTTTCACTCCATCTCTCATGAGTTTTCTAGAAGCTACATGATCTGTGACATTGCAACAAATTGAATGCAGAAGCAAATAAGGACTCCAGCTTTTTTTTTATTAAGCCAGAAATTCAAGAGACTGGTAAAACGGGGGGCGGGGGCGGGGTGGGGAGCATGTCCATCTACTCATTAAATATTTTGGCTTTAAAGCTTTTGCCTATTTTTTTCAGTAAAAATGTGTTAGTAACATTAATATGTAATGAGTTTATTACTGCCACTGTCAAATGAATTAATAAAATTAAATTTTTTTTCTCAGTTTCCATTTTTAATAAGGTATAAACATCAATAGATACAATCCACATAAACAAAAGTTTTTTGGGATCCTCAGTACGTTTTGGGTCCTGAGTCAAAAGTCAGACTTGCTGGCCTAGGTAATGTCCTTTGCGTGGAAAGTTCTTTTTCCCTTCCTCTCTGCTTCATTCAGGTTTTACCTATTTGATCAAGGCTGAAGGTCACTTCTTCCCTGAAGCCTTTCTGCCCCCCTGTCCCTTCCTCAGCCACACAGAAGGGGCCTAATAGTTTTTCAGATACCTGGTACACACCAAATACTGTCTTAGGAGTTTTCACATATGCTGAATGTTAGCTCTCACTCATGGGATCTCCTACGCCTCTGCTTCTCATGGGATATTCTTACTTTGGAAAATATATGCTATCATCTCTTTAAATTATAAACTCCTTGAAAGATCTATGCCTACTTTATCTTTGTGTCCTAGAAAATGATAAGTAGATAATTAATGCTAAATAACAAGAGTGACTGGGGCTTTAACTGTATAGGAAGGAATTCAGAGGAAACAGCTACCCTGAGGATACATGGTGAAGAAAGTGAGCTTGAGGTAGAGGTTAAATTCTCTAAAGCTGGCATTATTAACATCTGTATGAGATGTAAAGGATCAACTAAAAGAGTTTGGGCAGTTTGATCATTTTCTTTGTAGACTTAATTTGAAGAAATGATCCCATTAAGCCTCTGGAAGATTAAGAGAGAAGTATTAACATTCTGTAGCTTATTACCCCAAAACTCAACAGTAAAGGTAAAACCAAGTTGAATTCAGTAGGGAGGCATAGTAAATTACCATCACTTCCTACATGGGTACCAACTTTGTGTTAAAAAACCCAATGCTTAGTTATCTAATACAAAATGTACATTCCTAAAAATAACCCAACTTCAAGTTTTGAGAGGTTATAGCTTTTTAAAAAATCATATTTTTTTTTTGTAAAAAAATAAGGTCACTAGGTCTGGTAAAAGTTGCATCTAATTATTTTTTTAAAAATCTATTCCCACATATCAAAGTAGTTTTTCACATTAAGTAAGTGCCTACCTCTTCTTTACAAATAAGCATAATATTTTCCTGACAGATGCACCCTATTTTCCATCCCCACTCAAAGTTCTATAAGTCTTTAAACATTTTAAACTTTCCAAATTTTTGAAATTGGTCAAATATTTTTTTTCTTTATATTGTAGTGGTTACAATATATTAATACCTAATTATTTAAATATAAAATTACTTGATTTTTTTTATAAAACAAGTTTTGTCTTTTATTGTGTTCCATTATACAATTTTGCATAGTACCATTATTATTTGCATAGTACCATTATTATTATTATTATTATTTTAAACAATAAGGAAATCAAATTAGTGTTTTTGAGCTCTACTTCTCAGTGTAGAGATTTACCTTAAAAGGTACAAATCAAGCACACTAGTGTGATTTTCCATGCACTTTCAAGTCGCCTAAATATTTATAAGTATGTAGGTACCCTGTTTGAAAACATCAACAGTTTGGTGTCAGAAATTCTGCAACCAGCCCTATAGGAAATAAAATTTAATTAAAATGTAATTTGCCTTCTAATACATTGACAATTGACAAAACAAAACAAAAACCCAAAACCAAAAAAAAAAAAAAAAATTTACCCAATAACCAGAAAGCTGACACCCAACCTCTCTGGAGTAGGGTGGGTTGGAAATTTGATGAGGCACAGGTTCGATCTCCATACTAGAAAGGAAGGCAGCAAGTGCACCCTCCTCCTCATGGGAGCCACTGTGCAAGTCACTAACATGTTCAGTGTGTTCTATTTGCTTAGAGTTTGTTAAAAAAAACAAAAAAACAAAAAACAGACAGGGAGGGGATGGTTTAGGTGAAATATGACACCTGATGAAACTATGAAAATATCTGCTACCAGTAGCTAAATAACAGAGTTCCGACATTGTGAGTTTTCTTTAGCATATTTTTGACACAGAGTATAGCCAATACGTATTTAACAATTAGGGGAAACATTTCCTGTACAGTGTCATTCATGGTAGACACTTTCTTAAAAACAGTTCATCAAAACACTATTTTATTAGAGGTCAAAAACCCAGAAAGAAAAATAAGCTTGTAAAGTTATTTGTATTGGTATCACCTCAATGTAATGAAATTTTTCTATAAGTTTTCAGAAAGTGTCTCTCTAATTTTTACTTAAGTACCCTGTGTGTTCTACAGGCAACATTTGTTATCTTCCAAACCAAGCACTTTGAAGGTTCTTATATAAAATAAACTTTGCCTCTCTGCATGGGCATACATCTGCTTTTAGTATTTGTGTATACGCCCCACCATCACCCCACACCATGACACAGAGAGGCAGCAGAGGGATGGTAGGAAAACTATGGATTTAGAGGCAGAAATCTTGGGAGCCAGTTACGATTTTGTTCAACAAATTATACATGAGCAAAGAACTTAATTTTCCTGAACTACAATTTCCTGGTTTATAAACTGGTGATAGTAATTACCTCTCTGCCTATCTCAGAGAATCATAATATGCCTCAAAAAATGACACATAGGCAAATATTTTGTACACAGATATGATTTTCACAAAATAGTTAAATATATTTCTTACACTTTAAGGGCTCAGTTTCAATAAGAGCTATCTTTGTTAGGCAAAAGTTGAGTTATGAAACTAAAAGTACAACTTTCCATATGATGTATAGAGTTTCCTGTTCTGTGTTTTACAAGGCATGTCCCAGATGGGTGGCTATTTATTACCATATGACCAACTCAAGCTTTGGTTGCAGTTATTAGAACATGAAAATATTGACAGAGCTGAGATCCCTGTTGTGAAATATGAAGAACATGAAAATCTAAGATGTCACAGGGCATCACTCTTCACTCACAGGTTCTAACAGCTAAAAAGGTTGAAAATGGTTTCAACAAAGTGATTACAGTTAGAAATAGACTAAATATTAACTTATTGGTGAATTTACCAACTAGACTT